ATGGTACAACATGTTAACAAAGTGAAGAATAAAAATTACAATCATCTCAATAGATGCAGAAGTATTTGACAAAACTCAACATCCATTCATGATAGAAACTCTTAACAATGTGAGTACAGAAGAAATATACCTCAAAATAATAAAGGCCATGTATAAACCCACAGCTAACATCATATTCAATTTCCTCTAAGGTCAGGAACAAGACAGGGATCCCCATTCTCACTTTTACTCACCGTAATACTGGACGTCCTAGTAACAGTAATTAGACAAGAAAAAGAAATAAAAAGCATCCAAATTGGTAAGAAAGAAGTTAAACTGTCACTATTTGCAGATGACATGATACTATATATAGAAAACCTTAAAGACTCCACCAAAAAAAATTAGAATAAATGAATTCAGTAAAATTGCAAGATACAAAAGTCAACATAAGGAAATCTGTTGTGTTTCTATAGACTAACAACTATCAGAAAAAAGAAATTAAGAAAATAAATGCATCAGGGGCACCTGGGTGGCTCAGTCGTGGGGCATCTGCCTTCAGCTCCAGTCATGATCCCAGGGTCCCAGGATCTAGCTCCACACTGAGCTCCCTGCTCCGGGGCAAGCCTGCTCCTCCCGCTCCCACTACCCCTGCTTCTGTTCCCTCTCTCCCCGTGTCTCTGTCAAATCAATAAATAAAATCTTAAAAAAAAAAAAAAAAAGAAAGAAAGAAAAGAAATGCATCAAAAATAATAATATACCTAGGAATAAATTTAACCAAGGAGGTGAGAGATCTGTACTCTGAAAACTATAAGACAATGATGAAGGAAATTAAAGATGACACAAATAAATAAAAAGATATACCATGCTCATAGATTGGGAAAATTGATGTTAAAATATCCAGGGGCACTTGGGTGGTTCAGTTGATTAAGTGTCCGACTCTTGATTTTGGCTCAGGTCATGATATCAAGGTCCTAAGATCAAGCCCTGTATCAGGTTCCACACTCAGTGCAGAGTCCTCTTGGCCCTCACCCTCCCTCACTTGCTGTCAGTATGTCTCTCTCTCTCTCAAATACATAAATAAAATCTTAAAAAAAGAAGTAAAATAAAATGTCCATACTACCAAAGCAATCCACAGATTCAATAGAATCTCTATCAAAATACCAATAGCGTTTCCCACAAAACTAGAACAATCCTAAAGTTTGTGTGGAACCAAAAGAGAACCCAAATAGCCAAAGCAATCTTGAGAAAGGCACAAATCTGGAGGTATCACAATACCATATTTCAACTATACTACAAAGCTACAGTAATCTAAACTGTATGGTACTGGCATAAAAAGAGACACATAGCTTAATGGAACAGGATAGAAAGCCCAGAAATAAACCCCAGGTTATATGGTGAAATTAATTCATGACAAAAGAGACAAAAACATACAACGAGGAAAAGACAGTGTCTTCAATAAATGTGGTTGAGAAAACTGGACAGCTACATGCAAAAGAATGAAACTGGACCACTTTTTTATATCATACACAAAAATAAACTCAAAATGTATCAAAGACCTAAATATAAGACCTCAAACCATAAAACTTCTAAAAGAAAACACAGGCAGTAAACTCTTGGACATCAGCTTTAGCAATATTTTTTGTATATGTCTCCCCAGGAAAGGAAAACAAAGGCAAAAACAAACAACTGGGGGGTGCCTGGGTGGCTCAGTGGGTTAGAGCCTCTGTGTTCAGCTCAGGTCATAATCCCAGGGTCCTGGGATCAAGTCCCACATCGGGCTCTCTGCTCAGCAGGGAGCCTGCTCCCCCATCCCCTTCCCGTCTGTCTCTGCCTACTTGTGATCTCTGTCAAATAAATAAATAAAATCTTAAAAAAGCCAAAAAAACAAAAAAACCCAACTGGGACATCAAATTAAAAAGCTTTTACACAGTGACAGAAACCACCAACAAACCAAAAAAGGCAATCTGCTGAACGGGAGAAGACACCTGTAGCTAATATATTCAGTAAGGGGTTAACATGCAAATACAGAACTCCAACAACTCAACACTGAAAAACCAAACTGATTAAAATCTGGGCAGAGAAGATTGGAAATGCTACACCAAGCCCAAACTTCTTTGTCTTGTCATTTCTTCAAAAATTTATTGTTTCTTTGTCTAAAAGGTATAAAAGCTCCCTGCTTTGGTTACTTCTTTGAGTTTCCTATTTTTATGAACTTCCACACAAGCAAAATTAAATGTTTCCCTCTTGTTTAAAAAAAAAAAAAAATTGGGCAGAGGACCTGAATAGACAGATATTTTTCCAAAGATGACATATAAGTGGCCAACAGGTACATGAAAAGATGCGCAACATCACTTATCAGGGAAAGTAAAATCAAAACCACGTGAAATATCACCTAACACCTATAGTTAGAAAGGCTATTATCAAAAAGACAAAAAATAACAAGTGTTGGTGATGATGTGGAGAAAAAGGAACCTCTTTGCATTAGTTGTTGGAAATGTAAATTGGTGCAGCCACTACAGAAAACAGTATGGAGGTTCCTCAAAAAATAGAAAGTTAGAAATACCATAAGACCTAGTAATTCCATTTCTGGGTATTTATTCAAAGAAAACAAAAATACTAATTCAAAAACATACAGGAACCCTTATGTTTATTGCAGCATTAGTTACAATAAGCAAGATATGGAAGCAAACTGAGTGTCTACCAATGGATGAACGACTAAAGACAATGTGGTATGTATCTACAATGGAATATTACTCAGCCCTAAAAAAGACTGAAATCATACATTTGCAACAACATGTATGAACCTAGAGGGTATTATGCTAAATAAGTCAGAGAAAGACAAATGCCACATGTTTTCATATATATAGAATCTAAAAAAGAAAACAAGTGGAAACAGACTCATAAATACAGAAAAAAGAAACCTGATGGCTACAAGAGAGGAGGGGGCCAGAGAGAGGTGAAATAGGTGAAGGGGAATAAGATGAGCAAACTTCCAGTTACAAATTAGTCCCAGATGAAAAGTAGAGCATAAGGAATACAGTCAATAACACTGTAACTTTATATTTATAATAGATGACTACACTTATCATGGTGAGCATTTCATAATGTAGTTAACTACATTATTATTAACACTATATTGTATACCTTAAACTAATATATTATCTCAACAAGACTTCAATAAAAAAAAATCTACAACTCAGTAACAAAGAAACAACCCAATTAAAAAATGGGCAGGAGTGTCTGGCTGGCCCAGTCAGTGGAACATGCGACTCTTGATCTCAGAGGTAGGAGTTCAAGCCCTACATTGAACACCCTTAAGGGTCACTCATTCAGTTAAGTGTCTTGATTTCAGCTCAGGTCATGATCTCAGGGTTGTAGGCTCCATACTCAGTAGGGAGTCCACTTGAAATTCTCTCTCTTTTTCTCCCTCTGCCCTTTAACCCCCATCCTACTTGCTCTAAAATAAACCTTATAAATAAATAAATCTTTTAAAAATGGGCAAAGTATTCAAACAGACATTATTCCAAAGAAGATATAAAAATAGCAAATGATTACATGAAAATAGGCTGAACATTAGTAGTCTGTATGGAAATGCAAATCAAAGCCACTCCATACATGCCAGGGTGGCTATTAGGAAAAGGACACATCATAGCAAGTATTGACAAAGATGTGGAAAAAGTAGAACCCTCACGCATTGCTAGTAGGAGTGTAAAATGGTACAGGTGCTTTGGAAAATAGTGTGGCAGTTCCTCTAAAGTTAAAGTTATCATCTGATCAATTCCAAGAAAAATGAAAACATATGTCCACACAAAAACGTGTGCATCAATGTTCATAACAGCATTATTCAGAATAGCGAAAGAGTAGAAACAATCCAAATGTCCATTAACTATTGAATGGGTAAATAAAATGTAGTGTATCTATACAACACATTATTGAAAAGCAACGAAGTACTGATAACATGCTACATGAATGAACCCTGAAAATATGCTAAATGAGAGTGAGATGCAAAATACCACATATTGTAGGATTCCATTTATATGAAATGTCCGTAAATCCACAGAGACAGAAAGTAGACTGGTGGTTACCTAGCGTAATGGTAGAAGTAGGAGTGACCGACTGCTAATGGGTGTGTGATTTCTTTTGGGGGCGATAAAATGCTCTTAAGTGGGATAATGGTAATAACTGCATAATTCTGTAAATATACTAGAAACCACTGAGTTATACACTTTAAAGAGGGGAATACCATGCTATGTGAATTTTATGTCTATAAAGCTTTTAGAAAAATTACCCCATTGAATAGATGGACATTAATTCCTAACGTAGATTGCTTCCAATATACCTATACTACATAACACTACTGTGAACATTTTTGTGCCTAGGCTTTTATCATATAATTAAGAGCATGGATTCTTGGGGTGCCTGCCGGGCTCAGCTGGTGGAATGTGCAACTCTATCTCAGGGTTGTGGGTTCAAGCCCCATGTTGGGTATAGAGATTATTTAAAGACACAATCTTAAAAAAAAAAAAAAAAGGTATGGGTTCTTTAAAGATTTATTTTAGAGAGAGAAAGAGAGTGTACATGCACACATAAGAAGGAGGGGCAGGGGGAGAGGGAGAGAATTTCAAGCAGACTCCCTGCTGAGCATGGAGTCTGACACAGGGCTGGATGCCACAATGCTGAGATCATGACCTGAGACGAAATCAAGTAGGACACTTAACCAGTTGAGCCACCCAGGCATATGGATTCTTTAAACACACTGCTTCAGTGAGAATCTCGGCTTGACAACATAGCAGTTATAGAAGTGGTGCTTGGGCAAGTCGCTCAACTACTTTGTGTAATTTCCTCCTCTATCATGTGAAATAACAGTAGTCACCCCTCTTGGAATTTTGAGGAGTAAATTAAGTAAGGGCTTTGCATGGTGTCTGTCACATAATAAACTTTCAATATTAGTAGTTAAAATCATCATTCTGGTTTATTTTCTTTTTTAGGTTTTTCTTTTTTTAATTGAGGTATTACTTACAAGAAATATAGGACACTTCACAAATTTGTGTGTCTTCCTTACACAGGGGCCATGCTAACCTTTTCTGTATTATTCCAATTCTGGTGCATGTGCTGAGAAGCGACCACTGTATTATTTTCTTAAGATGATTTCTGGAGGGACGCCTGGGTGGCTCAGTTGGTTAAGCGGCTGCCTTCGGCTCAGGTCATGATCCCGGCGTCCTGGAATCGAGTCCCACATCGGGCTCCTTGCTCGGCAGGGAGCCTGCTTCTCCCTCTGCCTCTGCCTGCCTCTCTGTCTGCCTGTGCTCGCTCACTCTCTCTCCCTCTGTCTCTGACAAATAAATAAATAAAATCTTTAAAAAAAAAAAAAAAAAAAAAGATGATTTCTGGAAGTGGTGTCACTGGGTCAAAACCCACGAAACATTTATGTGTCTGAATACATTTTGCCAAACTACATTTCAAAGGGGGTACACTAATTTTTCATACCGATAGCAAATATAGGAGAGAACCGAGATGACCATGCCATCACCAACATTATGTTACAGTAAATTTTTGTTAATTTAACAGATGTCTCAACTTTCCTTGTGGTCCTGAGCATCTTCAAACCCAACGGTTTTCTAATAATCCTATGAATCCTGCATACCATGAGTACCTACCAAATGTGAACTCTGCACAAGACCCTACACTGGGAGCCACAACGGAAACTAAAATGAATAAGGTCAAGGATTTTGTGTGAGGCAAAACAAAGAAACATTTCAATTCAAGATAACTATGATTAAGTATGACAGAGCTACAAAGTATTTGTAAGCGTAGGGAAAAGATGGTGGTTTATAAAGCAGGCAAAGGGGGGCAGTGCTCCAGCTGGTTCTTGAAAGATGGACATTAATTTCAACTGGCAAGGGTGTGGCAAGAGTAAAATCAAGGCTGGTAAAAGAACACTGCACACAGCACATTCCAGAACTGTGGCTTGAGTAGGAAGTTGCTAGGGGGGAGAATGGGGAGAGAACAAGGCACAGGGTCTCTAGGAGCACAAAAAGGGCCTTCTAAAACACAGCCAATGACTCTGTGAGCTGGGAGGGAGGGTTTCTCACAGGGCAAAGAGCATGCAGAAAGACACAAAGACGTGAATCATCATGACCCATCCAAGGACCCGCATGTAATCCAATTTGGCTAAAGTGGAGGGTACATGCGAAAAGGATGCAGATGATGCTAACTAAATAGGCAGAAGCTAACTGTGAAGAACTTGGTGTGCCAGAATAAGCATTTGAACTTTATTCCAAAGGAAAGAGAACTGAAGCATTCTTAAGGGAAGAGGTGACAATCAGAGTAGCTAAAAAAAAAAAAAAAATTAAAGTTACTCTGGAAACCCCCCAGCAGCTTTCCAGCTCACACAGAATAAAATCCAAAGTCCTTCTTATACTTAACACCCTACATGCTGGTCAGTGGCTAGCTCTGAAATTACTTTCCTATTGCTTCTCTTTTCACTTACTCTGTTTCTGCCACACCAGCCTTGTTATTCCCCCACCAACATGCCTCTCCCCACGGCTTTTGCACTTGCTGTCCCCTCTAGCACCGTTCCCCGCCCGAAACACAGAGTTTGCTCCCTCACTTCCTTTAGGTCTTTGTTCAAACACTTTCTTATCATAGAGGGCTTCCCTATTACCCAACATATAAGAACAAGAAACAACCGCAATCCGCCCTACCATTTTTCCCCTCCATTGACCACCTGGCACATAGATTTACTTGGCTATTTCTTATCTCCCCTTACTAGAATGTAAGTTCTATGATGGAGCCTCTCTCAATAACCCTATGCTATAGGAAGTGTTATTGCCATTTCCAGATGGTGAAATTAAGAGGCACAATATTGCTAGTGAACAGAGGAACCAGGTAGAATGACTCCTGAACTTGCAACTATAATCATTTCACATAGTGTCAGAGGTCCTGACTTTGATCCTCGATCATTTCCTGTGAATTGGCTCCATCCTGACAAGTGCTATGACAGATTTCACTATGTCCTAAAAGGATGGATTCTTACCAGTGGTTATTAGCCATGTTTCATAAGCCAGGAAACATTTTTTTTAAATGACCAATTAAACTGCAAAAGGTATCTGGACTTTACCCAGCAGTAAGCAATATTTTTTCTTGTTTAGGACCCAGAGATATTAAAACAAGATAAAAACATTTTATAAAACTAAAAAGAACAAAGCATATGACACCAAAATTACTTTTCCAAGACCTTTTTCAAGTAGAATATTAACATCAAATCCATCTTTAAAATAACTTACAATTTTCTGAGGTATCGCTACCAAAGGAAGAACAAAGTATCTACCTTGAAAATACCAAGTAAATACTGTATCATATGCAGATACATATCCTGATTCTTTCCCTACACCTCAGATTACTAATTTCTTCTTTCCCTGATTCTTTCAACCCATTTTCCATTATTGAGAGCACGTGCGCCTTTCCAAAACGTAGTTCTCAATCAACATCTTTTCCCATCAGCTACTTCATACCGGAACTTACCACTCTTAATTCGCCACTACCTCTATTATAACCAAATCTAGTTATAATTGCTCGTTCTTCCCTTTTGCAGTTTCTGATCTCTAATGGCCTAACCTTAGATACTTCAGTACCTCCTTTTATATCCCTACCTTTTTAAAGAAAATCAACTTTTCCAAAATTGGCCTATTCTCTATTTATTTCATTAATCTGTATTATCTTGCTATTCTCCTAGGTTTAGAACTTTAATATATTTTCTCACCATTTTCTCAACAGGACCTGCCAACTGTTCACTGTATTTCCTATTACCTTACTTTCAAATTTGTATCTATCACCATATTCAGGGTTTTCTTCATTGCCTTCCTGAATTACCACAGTTGTCCCGCTGACCTACCTACTTCCAGCACACTCACTTCCATTAACTCTATACATACTGCCAGTAAAGCCTCACACACACAGTACACTCCCAATTCAAGGACTTTAAATGGCTCCCCAGCACAACAAATCCAAAACTTCTCAAACCAGCACTCAGGGCCTTCTACCCCTTTGGAATATCACTAATAAATGTTTATCTGAAAACATTCTAAGACAAAACTCGAGAAAACCGGGGCACTGGGTGGCTCAGTGGGTTAAAGCCTCTGCCTTTGGCTCAGGTCATGATCTCAGGGTCCTTGGATCGAGCCCCAGGTAGGGCACTCTGCTCAGCGGGGAGCCTTCTTCCCTTCTCTCTCTGCCTGCCTCTCTGCCTACTAGTGATCTCCGTCAAATAAATAAATAAAATCTTAAAAAAAAAAATTTAAAAAACTCGAGAAAACCAACATCTTGATCTCTCTGATCTGAATCAGCGCAATGCATACTACAGGTCTCTATAGACAACACAGACCACCATCGTCCACGTGATTTCAGCTAATTACATCAGGCAATGGGAATATATTAATCTATCATCTTCTAAACATCTCAAATTACTATGGGAAGGATTAATTTTCAAAAGTTGAACTCTTTGGGGCGCCTAGGTGGCTCAGTGGGTTAAAGCCTCTGCCTTCGGCTCAGGTCGTGATCCCGGGGTCCTGGGATCAAGTCCCACATCGGGCCCTCTGCTCAGCAGGGAGCCTGCTTCCTCCACTCTCTCTGCCTGCCTCTCTGCCTACTTGTGATCTCTGTCAAATAAATAAACAAAATCTTAAAAAAAAAAAAAAAAAAAAGTTGAACCCTTTTAATCAGCAAAATGAAAGTGTGTAGAGTTATTAGAAAATAACACCTCATATTCCTAGTGAAAGTACGAAGTAGTAAAATATTTTAAAGGTGAATTTGCCAATATCTATAAAGTTTAAGTGCAAAGTATCATTTAGCCCCGCAATACTTCCAGGAAATTATTGTAGATATTCTCACAGAAGAAAAATTATATGCAGAAGGATATTAAGCACAACATAGTTGTAATAGTATAAAAAAGGAAATAGGACAAACTAATTAAAAGTTCCTTACTAGACTTTTTTTTTTTTTTAAAGATTTTTATTCATTTATTTGACAGAGAGAAAGATCACAAGCAGGCAGAGAGGCAGGCAGAGAGAAGGGGAGGGAAGCAGGCTCCCCGCTGAGCAGAGAGCCCAATGCGGGGCTCGATCCCAGCACCCTGAGATCATGACCTGAGCCGAAGGCAGAGGCTTAACCCACTGAGCCACCCAGGCGCCCCTAGACTTTTTTTTTTTTTTTAAAGTAGGCTCCATGCCCAGTGACCTCAAGATCAAGAGTCGGATGCTCAAGAGACTGAGCCACTTATGTGTCCCCTTACTGGACTATTATTATCCATCCCATAGTGGAATATTATACAGCAAATAAAAATAAGGAAGCAGCTGTATGTGAATTAATACAGAAAGATATTTAAGAATGACCTGAAGGGAGGGAAAAAAGCAAGTCACAAAACAGATGTACATTATTATTCTATTTTGTGTAAAGGAAATTCATTTATTTGTGAATGCAAGAAAATATCTAAAAAGAAATAGTAACAAACCACTAATAGTTAATCCTGAAATGAGATTTAGGGGAAGAAACAAGGGATTTTCTCTTTTTGGGGTGTATATGTGTGTATAGGTACATACATATACATCCTTTTTTTTAACTGAAGTATGGTTGGATATACAATATTAGTTTCAGTATACCATCAGTGATTTGATATTTATATACATTATGAAATCTTACCATAATAAGCAGTTACCACCTGTCACCATACACAATTACTACAATGTTATTGACTATATTCCCTATGCTGTACTTTACATCCCCTGATTTATTTTATAACTATAAATTCGTACCTCTTAATCCCCTTCAGCTATTTCATCCATCCTCCCACCCTCTCCCTTCTGGTAACTACCAGTTTGCTCTCTCTACTTATGAGTCTGTTTCTGTCTTGTTTACACATTCCACCTAAGTGAAATCAAAGGTATGTGTCTTTGTCTAACTTCACATAATGCCCTTTAGGTTCATCCATGTTGTTGCAAACGGCAAGATTTCATTCTTTTTTATGGCTGAGTAATAATCATGTGCATCATGCCTTCTTCATCCATTCATCTATCGATGGATACTTAGGTGGCTTCCATATTTTGGCTATTGTAAATAATGCTTCAACGAAT